CTACCATGGGGAAGAGATGAGACAATCCTCTTTAGCGAAGAATTTTTACAAGCTGGCTACAGCACACCACTGCATGAACCCCATATTTTAATCAGGAGAATCAGTTCAACAGATTTCTCCTCAATAAGAAAAGAAGATCAATGTTTACTGTACAGGAAGAATGTAGAGATGTGATTACATATGCTTAAGTTTTCCATTTAAATGAAAATGCCAGCAATATTTTGAAAGAACCTATTCTTAAATATATTGCATTTGCTCAGGGCTGAAGCCCAGTCTCTCAGGATGCATCACTTTGGTTAGGTGTGTCTTCTCTGTTCTTGTCAAAATAGGCTGTACATGTGACATGGCAAATGGAAATCAAAGTTTTGCATTCAGTGTTGGAGCAGGCCTCCACTGAGGGATGCATTCTGGAAGCACTGGTACTACGTATGCTCCTGAGTAATCTCTACAGAGGCTGACAAAGAAGTTCTGTAGGAATAAGTGGCGCTTAAGACTACCAAGATCAGCAGATTCTGACCCGTCTAATAAGAACTGTGGTATAAGGAAATAGTTAAAACCACATCCCCAAATTTTGAAACTATAGGTTAGAGATATTCGGTGTCAACCACCTCTCACAAACCTCTAATCCCTCCTATCTCCTAGGTATTTAAGAACTTTACCTGTAGGTTAGTTAAATCACAAGACTCTTAAGAGGATACAAGGGGCAGGGCTGGGGGTGAAGAGGAAGAATTATAATATTGTACAGGTAAATTTCTAAATGAATAACACACAGTCATAAATCTAAGATTTGGGGCGAAGGAGATTTAGATAGAGATATTTTCAAGGTTGCTCCTTAAAGGAAGAGTCACCATCTGGTAACTTTTTTTATGAAGAAAGACAGCAAACAACCAAGCATTAGTCAAGGAACACATGAGAAAACTGTATTAACTTTGGAAAGCCTCTGGAAATGGTACAAGAGTAGAGAAAGGCTTGATCGTAGAAAGGAGAGGAAAAACAATCAATGTTGAAAAAACATTGAGAAAGAGAGTCCAGTGAAAGCTGTGAAAGCTAAGGTACATTTCCTACACCAAGGTAGGAGAATCCAGTAAGATATAACCCCAGAGGCAATTGGAATGCCAAGGCTCTTTTGAAACATACAAATAGCCGCCTAATGCATTTTACAGACCCATGTGAAATGGGAATAAAGTCTAATGTAAGTGTTCAACAATGTGGCACAGATGATGAAATCTGAGTACTTAATTTGGAAAAAAGTATAGTATTAAGATGACTGCATTGATTACTGTGAAGAGTACAACATGTCTGAATGGGCTTGACAGGGAAAAAGTACTGTGCTCTGTAATTTAGAAATCTAAAGCTAGTTATTTCTTCTAGAAACATGCACTTTATTCAATAAGCTTTCTCTATTAATTGTTTCTAGGCAATGTTTGGAACACCAATGCCAACAACGAAAACTTGAACCCCCAAAATAAAATTGGATTTGTTCTACAAATCTAATTGCATATATTATTTCTTAATATATTTAACTCATAATTTGATTAAGAGATGAATCACTAAATAAGAAGACATTTTACAATGAAGAGCTAAATTTCTATCTTATTTTGTTTCCAAAGAAACATCAAGAAACATCAAGATGCGTGTCTGTGTTCTTTTTACTAACCTTTCACTATGAAGGCCCCATGGAAGGAGGTGTTGTTGTATAAATGCGCTCGCTATTTAGAACCTAGAGAGACACCCTGGAAAGATGCACAGGTAGAATGGAAAGAGAAACTTCTTACTCTTCTGGGGCTGTTGGTTCTGAAGTAAGTAGGAAGGAAACTACCCAGTTCCAAGTCCAATGAGTTTCCTAGCAAGGGCTTAGGAAAAAGTTTGATGCTGAGAGCTTTGGAAAATGTTTTTTGTCAGATGCTGCCTTCTCTTTCCTTACTCAATGGGCAGTTCGCTGTCACCCACAGAGGGCCACCTCCAGGCAAAACCGAAGTGGCAAAGTTTGTCTTTAATAATCCTCCCTTTCCTCTTTGGACCCCTCTCTCAGCTACTGACCCTCTCTTGCTGCTCCAGCCAAAAAATGGAATCAATTTAGTCACATTTCGTTGCTTATGCCAGAGGTATATTTCAAAACAAACGTCACATTAAAAGTGAAATTTCAAGTATCAGAGTGAAATTTTTGGATAGGTAATGTTTTTGGATAGCTAATGTTAGATTTGGGGTAGTTAAACCTTAGACACGCATAGTCAATGATATTTAAAAACTCATAAAAGTTAATACACTAGAGGAATCACAATTAAAATATGTTTTCCTTCATTAATTCCCCTCAGATTTTTTTAGCCAGTGAGTCCACATTGCCGTGATCTTTCATTCGTTTTATGTGACATGTGTTTCCGAGTTTTTGAATACTTTCAGTATAGTGAGGCTTAGATCAGATCACCTTAGAATCCCATTATCTTTTTGCTTGATATTCATTTGGAAGGAGTGATAATGTCCAAATGCCTTTTGTTTATATCTTCACCAAAAGGGAAAGCTGCATGTTTTCGGTTATCAATGACAAACCAAGACATGATACCCACTCGGATGAATGTCTTCCCAACTTCCAAAACTAAGCACAATGACAAAAGTGAATCAATAATAGAAGCCTCTTTTTTGCTTCTTCTTTAGCTTTTTAAAAATAAAAGGGTAGAAGTAACTGAATACAAATTATAGTATCAGAATATATCATTGCCTGGTATGGAGGAAGGACCCTGCAGGTGTGTAGCTCCCCCTAATAGTCATGGAATGTACAATGTGCTTCAAAGGTCACCACAATAAATCTTCTCTCAGATAGAATTACAGTCCCCCAGTTGTTAAAAAACCACTGCACACAGTACCAAACCCCAGAAAGGGACAACTCCCTATAGGTACAGAGATTGTCTTTCCCAACGCCTATAGGGAATAATCAATTAATTTTAGAATAGTAAGGAACAGGATAACAAAACCAGTTTTCTATTGAGTGAGCCAGTTACTTAACATCTTTGTGCTTCTTCTTCTTCGGCTGTACACATGGTCTCATAATTTACCTACCAGTGGGGTTTTGTTAGGGTTAAATAATGTTTATAAAATGCCTGGCAAATAAAAATCACTTAATGAATAGCAGCCATCACTATTGTTCTGCCAATATTTGAATCTGGGGAATGACTTCACCCTTTGGGTAGTGGGTAGAGTTGGTTTGCAGCGGGTTAGAAAGGCAGAGGGTGGATTTCAGAAGCAAATCTGAGCATTATCATTAAATTAGGCTACATGCAAAGCAATCATGGAGAACAACAGTAACAGTGTCTTGCTACCAAAAAATCTTAAGAGACTTTCATTGAAATCTGTCAAAAATACCACCAAAGGAAATATAAGGCACACTTTAGGCTAGGTTGTGTCTAGCTTCATTTAAGCAACTGCCTTCTTGTAAATTGGGAACAAAGCACATGCATACATTGCAAAATACATAAAAACAAGGTGTTTTGAAACACACATCACACCTCTGCCAACTGACTTCATACTGGAAACTAAAGGTACAGGTAACACAGATGTGCTTATGGTGGTTCTGCTATTTAACCAGTGATCCTTTATGTTTAGCACTCTGGATTTCCTAAGAAAGATTTCCTTTTTCATTAGATAAAGATGGGAGAGCATTTTCTACATATTGACAGGCTGAGGGCTCAATACAAACATAAAGAGTGTCTCCGGTTGAGGAAAAGGTTTTCTGAGCTGTGTTTCTCTCCAGTTAATCTCTAAGGTGGCACAACGATAGTTATCTCCACCTGGACCTCTCCCAGACATCACTTTGATAACTCAAAAGCCTCTCAAAAGCAGTATCTCCAAAAATGATCTCATTATATAGAGATGATCTCATTATATAGCCACCACGCACAGCCTCCACCCCACCCCCCCCGGCCTGAACCTGCTTCTCTTCCTGGATTCCTTGTCATATCCTTGTTATTGAGAAAAGTAATATCACCCACAACCCATTTAGTTTTGCAAGCCAGAAATTCAGGAGTCATTCTTGACAGTCCCCCTCTTTCCCTTCCTAATCCAACCCATCATCAAGGACTGTCGATTTTATTTCCTAAATTACTCCCTCTGTCCATCTCTCTTCCTCTCTCTGCCATCAGTCTAATCTAACCTACCATCATCTCTCTCCTGGACCACTGTAATAGCCTCTTACCTGGTCTGACTCCATAAGCTCCCCCAACATGGCTGCCCCTGCCCCGAAACTATCCTCACATCATAGCATGAACTGAATCACATTACCCTGCCACCCCCAACCCCACGCTTAAGACTCCTGTACGACTTCTGATGGCATCAGGATGAAGAGGAAAAAAATGCCTCAACCAGACTTACAAAGCCCAACCACCACCACCACCCACCACGTTATTCTACTTTCTTCATCTCTGCTCCAGCCATGCTAGCTCTGTGTGCTCACCGTGATTCCTCCTGCCATGAGGCAGCTTCAGCTCTCCCTGCCACCTGAACCACTCTCGCCAACCCTTCCTGTCTATGTGTGATTTCAGTTCAACCATCACTTCTTTGAGGAAACCTTCCTTGACCTCTGGACCACATCAATTCCCTGTTACTTACTTTCATAGCACCTTGCAACTCCCCTTCATAGCACTTCACGAAGATGTGATTTTATTTTGTCTACATGATTAATATTTATCTTTCCTATTGATACGTAAGTCCCAGGAGAAAAGGAATCACATCTATGTTTCATACTACATAGTCCCAGCCCAAGCACAGGGTCTAGGATCTAAAGAAATATTCATAGGATGAATAAGTAAACAATGTCAGGTAAGTTTTCCACACTGCTTTCAGGCCACCATACTGTTTTTGCTTTAAAAAAGCCTCAGCAGACAGTCTGTTGTGGAAAATGCCCAGTTTAATCTGTGGATCTAAATATGAAAATGGTTAATGCAACCAAAGTGAGGTAAGGATGGGGGTTTGGCAAAAAAAAAAAAAGTGAGCGTCTAAGGTTTTTTTACCTTTAGCTTTAAAGAATTCAGCTTTTCCTCCCTGAGGTGTTCTCTCAGCATCTCGCGGTGGAGCCTCTCCTGCTCTCTGGCAAATTCGCCCAGGGTGTACTGGCGCACGCTGTTGTGACGGCTAGACATGCCCAGGGTGCTGCCGCCTTGGCTGGGCACGCTCGTGAAGCCCTGCCTCCTGGTGAAGTAGTACACGGTGACACAACTGAAATGCACATTCTTCGTCCTCAGCCGCTTCTCCCTTTTAAGGATGGAGGAAGCTGAAAGGGAAAGAGACAGTTCGGTGAACAGCCAGGGCAGCAGTCTTCAGAGGAGGCGAAGAATTAGAAATTGCCACTCGATGATCTTCAGTCTATGGGCAACCTTGTCTGGCTGGGAGACACTAAAAATGTGGTCTCTCAGAGCTGGCACCGGTTTCTCTTTCCTCTCCTCTATTTTCTTCCAGCTGTGGCGGACTAGACTTTCAAGTCCTTCTATAATGGTGGTCTATGCAAACTTTTAGGAAAGTTGCCGGTCGTCTGTGGATCAGTGGCACAATTTAATTTCTTATTTCCCCTAACCTTTTACGTTTTACTTTTATGGTTTTCACGTGAGCCGTAGCATACTATAATCAGAAAAGACACATACTACAAACGCTTTGGCTCTTATTTTGATATGGAAGGCATCTGGCATGAAAACCATGTCTGTTTCTAAATTTTAGAAAATTCCAGAAAGCAGTAAAAATGTACACCAAAAAAGGCTCAAAGGCACCATTTAGGTATTTTTATAACCTAAATCTAACCAAGCTTTCATTTGATGAAAACTCCAATAAATAACATTACAGACAGTGGGATTTTAATCCAAGTATACATTGAGAAAATTGAAAACGTCATGAGATATATCAGAACCTTTATTACTAGTTACAGGGAAATCAAGATGCACACAGCACCATGGAAGGTTGAGATACACACTGTATTTGAGGGAAAAGAGAGCTACACATTATAATCCTGACCTTTTGGAGTTGGAAGACATGCTAGACATCATCTAGCCCAGTCTTTTTATTTTGTAGTGAAGTAACCCAGTCTTACAGAATTTGAGTTATTTCTTTCATGAAGAAAGAAATGAATGAAACAGACAGAAAGAAACAATGGACTCCTTGGACGTAAAAAAATACATATATGAGCTAACATTTATGGACTATGCAGAGAACTTTACATGAATTATCTTGTCTTATCCTTATAACTCCTTGTGTTGAAATTACCCATGTCTCCATTTGAGGAAACCAATCCACCAAAGGTTAAATAACATGGCCAAGGTCATATAACTAGTGGTGAAACTGGGATTCATTATTCAAGAGCCCAGTCTTTTAACCATCATTTCACAGTAGAGAGCTGAGGTCATGCTAAGGGAGCTGAACAAGGCTGAGATTTGGTGTCCCATTGCTTCTGGTAGATGTCAACTGCTGCAGACTCCAAAGATGACTTTTTTTGGGGGGGGTTGTATATCTCTTTTTAAAAATTGTTTTATTTTTATACACTTTTTAAATGTTTCTTCCCATTTACAGTTATTTCAAAATATTGGCTATATTCCCTGCGTTGTACAATACATCCTTGCACCCATTTTACACTCAATAGTTTATACCTCCCACTCTCCCATCCTTTTATTGTCCCTCCCCCCATCCCCACTGGCAACCACTGGTTTGTTCTCTATATTTGTGAGTCTGCTTCTTTTATATTATATTCACTAATTTGCTGTATTTTTTAGATTCCACATACAAGTGATATCATATGGTATTTATCTTTCTCTGTCTGACTTATTTCACTTAGCATAATGCCCTCCAAGTCCATCCATGTTGCTGCAAATGGCAAAATTTTGTTCTTTTTTATGGCTGACTAGTATTCCATCATATATATATACCACAGCTTCTTTATCCATTCATCTGTTGATGGACACTTAGGATGTTTCCATACCTTGGCTATTATAAATAAAGCTACTATAAACATTGGGGTGCATGTATCTTTACGAATTAGTGTTTTTGGTTTTTTTGGATATATACCCAGTTCATATGGTAGTTCTATTTTTAGTTTTTTTTTTTTGAGAAACTTCCATACTGTTTTCCACAGTAGCTGCACCAATTTACATTCCCACCAAAAGTGTACAAGGGTTCCCTTTTCTCCACATCCTCCCAAAATTTGTTATTTGTAGACCAAAGATGATTTCTATTTGGAAGGCTGTATAAGCAATGAAAGAAAAGTGAATACAGCATCACTTTGGATTTATATAAGAATATTCTTTCAAGGGGTTCAAGTTCATTTATCTCATTTTTCCCCCATAAAACTCTCAAGCCAAATACAGAGAGGTGCTATGATACATCTCATTTCAAGGATTTACTAATTCGATAAATATAAACCAAGGGCCTACTGTATGCCAGGCACTTTCTAAATGATTGGACATACTGGTGGAAAAAACAGATGGTGATCCCTGCCTGTATGGAACTTCCACTTCCAGTGATGAGAAACTCAGACAGAAGAAACAGACTCAAAAGATTACAGAGCAAGAGAAGTAGGACATTTGGGCAAGAATTTAGCTTTCCCAACTTTCTCTCCTCTTTATTGCTTTACCTCTCCAGAAGAGATTGCCAGGAAGCAAATGCTTTCAAGCATGTACGTAGTTCTCCCATTTATTTATGTACACGTTCACGGCAAAATGCTTGTACTCCTGGCAGCAGTGACAATTTTCAACCTAGATTTAGAAGCTCTGATCTGCTTCATAACTGTATGTTTAAATCATCTCAAAACAGAGAAGAATTTTTCAAAATGTAAAAGATCACTGTAAAAAGCAAAATTCAATAATCTGCCCAGTAATCTGCTACCCTATCTGACAGCCTCATCCGTCACCACCTTACAGCAGGCTAGAGACTCTGCTTTTTGGGTGATAACTTTCAACCTAATTTACTCTTAGTATCATACAAATGATGCCCTGAAGACATTATCTTTCAAGGCCATAATTTACAAATGAAATAAAAACATTTTAATGTACTCGTTTAAAATAATTACTATAAACACCTCTGATAATTTTATTACTTATTTTTTAGACAATTCATAGTACTCTAGACAAATTTCCTTTTAAAAAAATTTACTTAGATTTTGTACCTGTATTTTTAGATTATAAGAATTCTTCATGGACTTCCCTGGTGGAGCAGTGATTAAGAATCTGCCTACCAATGCAGGGGACATGGGTTTAAGCCCTGGTCCAGGAAGATCCCACATGTCACGGAGCAAATAAGGCTGGGCACCACAACTACTGAGCCCACATGCCACAACTTATGAAGTCCGCACACCTAGAGCCCATGCTCCGCAACAAGAGAAGCCACCACAATGAGAAGCCTGCACACCGAACTGAAGAGTAGCCCCGGCTTGCCGCAACTAGAGGAAGCCTGCGCGCAGCAACAAAGACCCAACGCAGCCAAAAATAAATTTATTTAAAAAAAAAAATTCTTCAACCTTCTGGATGAATCTATCGTACCATCCTTTCACCAAAAGCCAGATTACACTTTCCCCAAAAGACAGTTAAGAGATGTTTTTACAAGGCTTGGAAGAAGACAATAGTTGCAGAGAGCAGAAGCCCTTTACCTGGGCTCTTGGCATTTCTAACACTGTCAAAGTGCACTAGGATTAGTGCTTCCTCCTACCCACTAGGGTTTATAATTCAAACATGTGCTTATACTTGTTTTAGCACTTGCATGTTATAAATAGCACTGTAGAAACAATGATCAAAAAGCCTATGGGATATATTTAAGAGGAAGGCTTTGAAATGCCACAAGATCAGCCTTATGAAGGATATTTTAAGTGTGGCTTTCCTAAACTTAGGAGCCACTCACGTCTCTCTTCTGATGATTGAATTGGAGTCCCAGAATGGGCTCTTGTGGGCTATCTCCTGTCTCCAGGCCCCGATTTGACTAACATCACAGAATGAAGTTATCAAAAAGGAGTCTGTGTTCTTCAAGCCTGGGAAAAACAGATTAAATTCACTCAGCACATCTGCCTTAGGGAATCCGAAACCTCCCTGATATATCTACCTAGTAATTTGTGCCCTTTACAGAATGATTGAACTCAACTTTGTGTCTCTACAGAGTTCAGGGTTCATTTTACTACCGTGAGGTCAAGAGCAAGAAGAAAGAAGAAGGAGAAGGTGGCTTTCATTACTGCTTTGAAAAAGAACTAGTCTGTTTTCATACACAAGGCTAAGTTTTTGTTGCCTCTCAGCTCCTCTTCTTTTAGCCCATTCACCATTACCATCCTGAAGCAGAAGTGTCTAAATGCAACAGTACTATATATCCTGCCCAGCACACAGCTTTTGGGACCACCATTATGGTGGTACAACAGGGCATACTGGTGTTGCTGTAAAATGATCACATATTATGGAGATAATATTGACCCTTGTAAATTAAAGGAATAAAAGGCACAGAGTAACTGACATTAGCCATCTGAAGACGCTACCCAACCTTAAAAAATGCTTTTAAAAATAAGTGAAGAAGAGAGTTGAGAAACTGACTAATTCACAATGGCAGGGTCAGAATGTAAGTAGATAAAATAAAATAAGCTGTACCATACATTATAATAAAGAGTTCATGATCAGAGTGGATTAAAAATGGAAGCCACTTGGGATTAGCAGATGCAAACTACTATATATAGAATAGATAAACAACAAGGTCCTACTGTAGAACACAGGGAACTATATTCAGTATCCTGCGATAAACAATAATGGAAAAGAATATGAAAAGGAATATATATATGTATATGTATAACTGAATCACTTTGCTGTATAGCAGAAATTAACACAGCATTGTAAATCAACTACACTTCAATAAAATAACTTAAGAAAAAATGGAAGCCATAGTGCAGCCACTCTGGGGCCAATGCAGCAATCTAGTTACCCTCCTAAGGCACACCTGGCTCTTTTAGTGTCAACAGCTATCAGCAAAGCCCTGGTATAGCTGGAAAGGCAGAAAGCAGTAAACAGAACTATGTATTTTGGCACTAAAGTTGGCACGTGGAGGTTGAGAGTTTATGGTCCAGTCTGATGCTAAACAAGGGGTAAATTGTGGAAAATATTAACTCTACCATTTGGGTCTGAAGTTAATAGCATACTTCTATGTGCTATGCTCAAAAGGAAAATGCCAGGTGATTTGTAAGTCAATATTTTGAGTCTATTTTTCATTTATTTGGGGGAAATTCCGTAGAAGCAAAGTAAGATTGCTGAAATTAATTTGTTTATCTTG